CCAGAGGCCGGGGGGAGGCAGAAGAGGCCTTGGGGCAAACTGCTTGATATCATTTTGAAGGGACCCCATCACCTTGTCCATACAGGTCCAAGTGGCTTGGATGATTTAAATAGAAAGGCCCTCATGGTGAAAGCAGCGTACGGGTAACCACCTAATAGCAGAAAAAAAAAAACACTGGCAAGTATACATCCAATAAATCAGTCTTTATCAGGTATGTCCGGGGTCCGGTGAGCTTTCTTTCACAAATTTTCAGAACCTCCAAAGAGACAGAAGAAATCTCTGAATAAAAACACACAGTGGAGGGCGCCATCTAAGTGCAGCATTGATACTTTTATTGTATGATAAAAACAAATTGATAACTTACAAGTAAGTTTGGGAAGGCATAAAGATCTTTAGCGAAGATTTCTGAACCTCCAGAGAGACGGAAGAAATCTCTGAATCAAAACATAAAAACACACAGTGGAGGGCGCCATCTAAGTGGAGCATGGATACTTTTATTGTATGATAAAAACAAATTGATAACTTACAAGCAGGGGCGGACTGACCATTTGGACCCGGGGTCAGTAGGGGGCCCCATGAGATGCCCCTGGTACCTTTTCCCTAGGCTTTTTTGAGTTTGGGCAAGGACACAGGGGCCCCATGATCCCCTATTGCCCGGGGGCTCCATGAGTTGTCAGTCCGCCCCTGCTTACAAGTAAGTTTGTAAAGGCATATAGAGCTTTAGCAATCGGGAAATCCAGAAGATTTCAGAACCTCCAGAGAGACAGAAGAAATCTCTGGATCAAGACATAAAAACACATACAGTGGAGGGCGCCATCTAAGTGCAGCATTGATACTTTTATTGTATGATAAACACAAATTGATAACTTACAAGTAAGTTTGTAAAGGCATATAGAGCTTTAGCAATCGGGAAATCAAGAAGATTTCAGAACCTCCAGAGAGACGGAAGAAATCTCTGAATCAAGACAAACGCACACACAGTGGGGGGGGGGCTCCATCTAAGTGGAGCATTAGACCATTTATTGTATGATAAAAACAAAATGGCGGCTCACATGAAGTAAGTCTGTGAAGCATAAGAAATCAGGACATCCAAGGAACCCTGTAGCAGAGGTATCCAATCCAGAGATTGTGAAAAATGCTCCCTTGTAGTTGGGCCTCCCTCACATTGCAAGGGATAAAAGCTCATTGTTCTCCCTGTGCCTGCGTGGGTTTCCTCTGGGTACTCTGGTTTCCTCCTACACTCCAAAGACATGCTGGTAGGTTAATTGGCTCCTGTCTAAATTGTCCCTAGTATGTGTATGTATGAATGTGAGTTAGGGACCTTAGATTGTACGCCCCTTGAGGGTTAGGGATCAGGGGTGTATTTACCACAAGGCAAACAAGGCATTTGCCTAGGGTGGCATTTTTCAGGGGGGGCAGCACTGCCTCTTGGAAGAAGGGAGGGAAGAAGGGACACACGTGGCATGAGGACCTGGGGGGTTCCGAGAGATGCTGTGGGCTTCATGACGGTGTATGCACAGCCCGACTATCGTTTCTGGGGATGTCCGGAGCTGTGAAGGTGATTGTCTCTCTCTCGCCATGGGGAATGGTGGCTGGTGTATGGGGGGGCAGTGGTAGTGGAAGGTTCGGGTGGAGGGCAGGGGTGCTCTTGGTCAATGTCAGGCTCTTTCTGCCGGCCAATTTTTGTGTTGCCTAGGGCAGCACAAAACCTGAACACACCACTGATCTGGGGACTGACGTGAATGTACAATATATATGTGAAGTGCTGTGTATATTGATGGCGCTATACAAGTACCTGAAATAAAAAAATAAATATAGGTGGCATGGAAAAGCAGTTTTACTTAGCCGATCCTCCTCTCCCCCAGAAGCCAGCTCTCTCCTGTACTCCCCTATTTTCCAACACTGGACTGTCCCTCCACATCCCCTAATCCAATGCAAGGCTATAGGCTCTGCAATGGGCTTCATGGTGTCGGAGGACCTGCTACTGCTGGAGCACACGGGAGAAGAGGCTGCGTGGAATCGGTCTTACAGTTTAGTCCCCCATCACACCGGTGTGTGTGACTTGTCATGCGATTTGATAGTTTCAAAGCGCAAGTCGCATCCTATTGTCAGCAATTGAAGCGGTCATACCGGTACTATGTCGGGGTCTGGGGGTGATGGGTCGTACCATGTCGGGGTCTGGGGGGTGATGGGTCGTACCATGTCGGGGTCTGGGGGGTGATGGGTCGTACCATGTCGGGGTCTGGGGGGTGATGGGTCGTACCACGTCGGGGTCTGGGGGGGTGATGGGTCGTACCACGTCGGGGTCTGGGGGGGTGATGGGTCGTACCACGTCGGGGTCTGGGGGGTGATGGGTCGTACCACGTCGGGGTCTGGGGGGTGGTGGGTCGTACCATGTTGGGTTTCTGGGGGGTGATGGGTTGTACCATGTCAGGGTCTGGGGGGGTGATGGGTTGTACCATGTCGGGGTCTGGGGGTCTTACAGCTTTTAGTCCCCAGTCACACCTGTGCAACTAGTCATGCGATTTGATATTTTCAAATCGCATGACAAGTCGCACCCTATTGTCCACATTAGAAGCAGTCATATCTGTGTGATATCGCACAATTTCAAAGTCAGATTTGGTGTGACCGAAGACTTAGGGCTCAGTCACACTAGCGGTTGAAGGGCAATACCGGTACTATGTCGGGGTCTGGGGGTGATGGGTCGTACCATGTCGGGGTCTGGGGGGGAATGATGGGTCGTACCATGTCGGGATCTGTGGGGTGATGGGTCGTACCATGTCGGGATCTGTGGGGTGATGGGTCGTACCATGTCGGGATCTGTGGGGTGATGGGTCGTACCATGTCGGGGGGGTCTGTGGGGTGATGGGTCGTACCATGTCGGGGTCTGTGGGGTGATGGGTCGTACCATGTCGGGGTCTGTGGGGTGATGGGTCGTACCATGTCGGGGTCTGTGGGGTGATGGGTCGTACCATGTCGGGGTCTGTGGGGTGATGGGTCGTACCATGTCGGGGTCTGTGGGGTGATGGGTCGTACCATGTCGGGGTCTGTGGGGTGATGGGTCGTACCACGTCGGGGTCTGTGGGGTGATGGGTCGTACCACGTCGGGGTCTGGGGGTGATGGGTCGTACCACGTCGGGGTCTGGGGGGGGTGATGGGTCGTACCACGTCGGGGTCTGGGGGGGTGATGGGTCGTACCACGTCGGGGTCTGGGGGGTGGTGGGTCGTACCATCGGGGTCAGGGGGGATGGGTCGTGGGGTCTGGGGGTGATGGGTTGTACCATGTCGGGGTCTGGGGGGTGATGGGTTGTACCATGTCGGGGTCTGGGGGTCTTACAGCTTTTAGTCCCCAGTCACACCTGTGCAACTAGTCATGCGATTTGATATTTTGAAATCGCATGACAAGTCGCACCCTATTGTCCACAATAGAAGCAGTCATATCTGTGCGATTTCAAAGTCAGATTTGGTGTGACCGAAGACTTAGGGCTCAGTCACACTAGCGGTTGAAGGGCAATACCGGTACTATGTCGGGGTCTGGGGGGTGATGGGTCGTACCATGTCGGGATCTGTGGGGTGATGGGTCGTACCATGTCGGGGTCTGTGGGGTGATGGGTCGTACCATGTCGGGGTCTGTGGGGTGATGGGTCGTACCATGTCGGGGTCTGTGGGGTGATGGGTCGTACCATGTCGGGGTCTGTGGGGTGATGGGTCGTACCATGTCGGGGTCTGGGGGGTGATGGGTCGTACCATGTCGGGGTCTGGGGGTCAGATTTGGTGTGACCGAAGACTTAGGGCTCAGTCACACTAGCGGTTGAAGGGCAATAAAACCCCACGGCTGAGCATGCATGCCCCCAACTGTTCCCCCTGTAGAGGCAGAGGCAGTGGCCGGGGGGGTGTACACATGTAATTATACACCTTGTTGCTTTCCACGGGTATAGTGCCTGCCAAGCGCAACCCATTCAAATGAATAAGGTCCCTTTGCAAGTGTCCTGTGACTGTGCGCAATACATGTGGGTGCAGCATGCTAGTGCGGGGTTCAAGGAATTTAAGCAGGCAGTGAGGAGGCGATACAAATTGGACTCTTAAGAGACTAAAATGTGAATGAGCCCTTAGGAAGCTCTCAGGGAGCCTGCGGGAGCGGAGGATCAGGCAAGTAAAAGTTGCATCCTCCTAAACCCAAACGAGCATTTAAAGTGTTACAACAGTACAATCAGTCTGTAGATGCAGTAAAGCGTGCTTGTTATACTCACTGTGGAACCTAAGGGGTTAATCCTCTGCATTGTGTAAAAATGTGGTTTGATCCTGTCTTCTCTAATCCTCCCTTCTCCTACTGTCCCCACTCCATATGCTGATAGAACAGAGCCTTGGGGCAAGATGTACATACTCAGTTTGGTGTGTATTGCTAGAGAGGTTTTTTTTTTTCTCTCTTGGGAGAATGCATGCGATCAGCACAGGGCCGATCAGCACTGTCCTGACAGAAGGTCAGGGGTCCTGCAGCCTCATAGGACAATCAGGGGAGAATGAAAACTCCTCCTACAAACTTTAACCAGTGCTCTGCTGGACACTGATATCAGTCACAAGACTGCTATAGACTGCTGATGAAAAAAGGTATTTAGCAGTTTATGTTTACTAAAATAATTGCATTTCCATGTTCTGTGTACTGTAAGAGACCGGATATAGTGAATGCAGGGTCCAGAGAGATTGGATATAGTAAATGCAGGGTCCGGGGAGATTGGATATAGTGAATGCAGGGTCCGGGGAGAGCGGAAATAGTGAATGCAGGGTCCGGGGAGACCGGATATAGAGAATGCAGGGTCCGGGGAGACCGGATATAGTGAATGCAGGGTCCGGGGAGACCGGATATAGTGAATGCAGGGTCCGGGGAGAGCAGATATAGTGAATGCAGGGTCCGGGGAGAGCAGATATAGTGAATGCAGGGTCCGGGGGGACCGGATATAGTGAATGCGGGTCCGGGGAGATCGGATATAGTGAATGCAGAGTCAGGGGAGACCGGATATAGTGAATGCAGGGTCCGGGGAGACCGGATATAGTGAATGCAGGGTCCGGGGAGAGTGGATATAGTGAATGCAGGGTCTGGGGAGACCAGATATAGTGAATGCAGGGTCCGGGGAGACCAGATATAGTGAATGCAGGGTCTGGGGAGAGCGGATATAGTGAATGCAGGGTCTGGGGAGAGCGGATATAGTGAATGCAGGGTCTGGGGAGAGCAGATATAGTGAATGCAGGGTCTGGGGAGAGCAGATATAGTGAATGCAGGGTCTGGGGAGACCGGATATAGTGAATGCTGGGTCTGGGGAGGCCGGATATAGTGAATGCAGGGTCCAGGGAGACCGGATATAGTGAATGCTGGGTCTGGAGTGGCCGGATATAGTGAATGCTGGGTCCGGGGAGACCGGATATAGTGAATGCAGGGTCCGGGGAGACCGGATATAGTGAATGCAGGGTCCGGGGAGACCGGATATAGTGAATGCAGGGTCCGGGGAGACCGGATATAGTGAATGCAGGGTCCGGGGAGAACAGATATAGTGAATGCAGGGTCCGGGGAGACCAGATATAGTGAATGCAGGGTCCGGGGAAAACAGATATAGTGAATGCAGGGTCCGGGGAGAGCGGATATAGTGAATGCAGGGTCCGGGGGGACTGGATATAGTGAATGCAGGGTCCTGGGAGAACAGATATAGTGAATGCAGGGTCTGGGGAGACCAGATATAGTGAATGCAGGGTCCGGGGAGACCAGATATAGTGAATGCAGGGTCCGGGGAGACCAGATATAGTGAATGCAGGGTCCGGGGAGACCAGATATAGTGAATGCAGGGTCCGGGGAGAGCAGATATAGTGAATGCAGGGTCCAGGGAGAGCGGATATAGTGAATGCAGGGTCCAGGGAGAGCAAATATAGTGAATGCAGGGTCCGGGGAAAACAGATATAGTGAATGCAGGGTCCGGGGAAAACAGATATAGTGAATGCAGGGTCCGGGGAGAGCGGATATAGTGAATGCAGGGTCCTGGGAGAACAGATATAGTGAATGCAGGGTCTGGGGAGACCAGATATAGTGAATGCAGGGTCTGGGAGACCAGATATAGTGAATGCAGGGTCTGGGGAGACCAGATATAGTGAATGCAGGGTCCGGGGAGAGCAGATATAGTGAATGCAGGGTCCGGGGAGACCAGATATAGTGGATGCAGGGTCCGGGGAGAGCGGATATAGTGAATGCAGGGTCCGGGGAGAGCAGATATAGTGAATGCAGGATCCGGGGTTCAGAAACACTTTAACCCTTGCACTGCAGGGGCGGCCCCACTGTAAGTCTCAATCAGAGCTCCAGGCAAACCTCTAATCTGTATCTATGTGGTTTCCGGAGGTATAACACACGGCTTCACCACAGGAAAACCACACCGCATTACGCAAGACAAAAAAAAAGTAAATGTGCAAAACACGCCCCCCCCCCCCCCATAATCTGGATAGATATAACTGACGTTTCATTCCCCCGTCCCTCTCTTACATGAGACGTGTTGCAGGAATAATGAGGCGATGGAAGGAACTTCCTATTTTCTGGGTTTATAAAAAGAAACATCCCGGTCACATGAGCAGAGAGTCACCAAAGCCGGGGAGATAATTACAGGCCGAGGACTCTTCATGTCACAGTAAATTACAGGAGATCAAACCAGTGACTGGTCCCCGCAATTATCTGGAGCTCTCCCCTGCCCCAGCAAGAGAGACGCTTTCAAACATTGGATCAAAGGGGACGCTACACGACGGGTTAGAGCTGAAGTTTAATCCGCTTAGATTTTGACTTTCTTGGTCCCTCTTTTGCTCTAGGAGGATGCAGAACCCCTGACCTCTGTCTGGACAACGCTGATTGGCCCTGTGCTGATTACAAGCACTCACCCAAGAAAGAAAGAAAAGAAAAACACACCTCTCTAGCAATACACACCAAACTGAGCATGTGCAGAGCATTTCTACACGATATGTGTTATCAGGATGTGAGGGGGACACTAGAGGAAGGGGAAAATCAGAGCAATACACACCAAACTGAGCATGTGCAGATCATTTAATACACGATATGTGTTATCAGGATATGAGGGGGACACTATAGGAAGGGCAAGATCAGAGCAATACACACCAAACTGAGCATGTGCAGCTTGCCCCCAATGCTCCGTTCTATCAGCAGATGGATTGGGGACAATAGAAGAAGGGGAGGATCAGAAAAGACAGGATCAAACAGCCTTTTTACACAATGTGGAGGATTAACCCCTTAGGTTCCACAGTGAGGACAGACTGATTGTACTGCTGGGGGTTTAGTAACACTTTATTAGCAGATTATCAGGGTTGCAAGGACAAGCGCCACAGAATGCAACGGTCAGCCTCCTCCAATAAAGAAACTTACTTTTATTAACATAATTATTTTTCAATATCTCCAAAGGCTTATGCAGGCCATAGACGGGTCCTTTATCGGCCGATTTTTCGTCCGCACGAAAAATCGGCCGATATTCACGCCGTTAGTGGGGCCTGCCCGTTGGCCGTTTTTTTTCGCAGATCGTCTTACTTACTTTTATTGGTCATGCTTGAAAATCCAGGAAAAATGGCCATTTTTCGTGGACGATGGTGGCAGCATTGGCAACGGCCCTGACCGATTTTTCATATATCGGCCGACAATTCAGCCGATAAATGGCCCGTCTATGGCCTGCCTTAGAAACGGTTCAATAAAGAAATGCTCCATTTGCACCTCGAATATAGAGATTTATAACAGATGTAAAGTTGAACTGAAAAAAACGGGCAGAAGGAACCGATCGGAATGTCCATGTGAAAGGGGCCCTAAAGGGCTGGGAAGTGGTCGGTGTCAAAGGGTGGAGGAGCACTGGTTACCCAACCCCTGATATTCGTCCAGTCTTGGCCAGTGCAGTATGCTGACAAAATTACCTTTCATCTATAATTCTTCTTTAAAATCAGAAGTATACTTCCTAATGTGTGAGGTGCCTAGGCACTCCTTTTGTTTAGCCTCATCTAAAATTTTACCTGAAAATCAGCACCATACTTCCTAATGTGTGAGAGTGCCTAGGCATTCCTGTCCAGTAGCCTCATCTTGAATTCTTCGTGTAAAACAGCAGTATACTTCCTAGTATATGAGGGTGCCGAAGCACTCCTGTTCCGTAGCCTCACCTTAAATTCCTCCTGGAAAACAGCAGTCTACTTCCTAATGTGTGAGGGTGCCTAGGCACTCCTTTTCTTTAGCCTCATCTAAAATTTTACCTGAAAATCAGTACCATACTTCCTAATGTGTGAGAGTGCCTAGGCATTCCTGTCCAGTAGCCTCACCTTGAATTCCTCCTGGAAAACAGCAGTCTACTTCCTAATGTGTGAGGGTGCCTAGGCACTCCTGTTCTTTAGCCTCATCTAGAATTCTTCCTGAAAATCAGCACCATACTTCCTAATGTGTGAGGGTGCCTAGGCACTCCTGTCCTGTAGCCTCATCTTGAATTCTTCCTGAAAATCAGCAGCATACTTCCTAATGTGTGAGGGTGCCTAGGCACTCCTGTCCTGTAGCCTCATCTTGAATTCTTCCTGAAAATCAGCACCATACTTCCTAATGTGTGAGAGTGCCTAGGCATTCCTGTCCAGTAGCATCATCTTGAATTCCTCCTGGAAAACAGCAGTATGCTTCCTAGTATGTGAGGGTGCCTAGGCCATCCTGTTCTGCAGCCACATTTTTAAATTCCTCCTGAAACACAGCTGTATACTTCCTAATCTGCAAGGGTGCCTAGGCACTCCTGTTCTATTGCCTCTACTTGAATTTCTCCTGTAAAACGGCAAAAGACTTCCTAATATGTGATGGTGCCTAGGCACTCCTGTCCTGTAGCCTCATAGCTGCATTATTTGCATTGTGAGATCTAAGGCACTGCTGCCTCTGGTTGCTAGTCTCACCAGATTTGGAGATATCTCTACTGTGCTGCACACTGTTCTCCTTGCTGGAGGCTCCATGATGAGGAAGTAAAGCCCTGCCTCTACCAAGATGGCTGCCTCCACATGGCATGGTAAGTCAGTAATGGCGAAAAGATCAGCTGCAGAGGCCACTGACAATACTCTTAACCAGAGTTTTCTATCTGTTTGCCTGATTTTGGTTCCCAGAGCTCACTTCCTGTGCAATGTTGCAGTGTATATGAGATTTAGAGATCGGGTTTAGATTTCCATTGAGGCCTTTTTTGTTTTTTTTTTAACTAAACTAAAAAAGATGTTATACTTACCTGCTCTGTGCAAAAGTACTGCACAGAGCAGCCCCAAACCTCCTCTTCTGTGGTCTCCTGCCAGTGCTCTCAGCACCTCCTCTTCTGGGTCTCCTGCCAGTGCTCTCAGCACCTCCTCTTCTCCGTGTGCTACCATAGGAAGCCACCTCCTTTGGGGGCACAGATGTTGGAGCAACCCTGAGCCGGGCTGTGTGCATCCATAGACACACGCAGCGTGGTTCGGCCTCATCCTTTGCAGGATTCGACTGAGAGCAGCAGGACAAAATAGTTCCTGAGCTTGTGAGAGCGGAGAGACCCGGACAAAGCACTGGACTGATACAGGACTCAAGGGGGGGGGGGGGGTTCAACTCAAAGGTTTTCTAACCTGAATTCATAGACTTTAGAACCACTTGAAGGACAATGCGCAAAGAAAAGGATGTGCACATTGTTGCAGTCCTCGTATGACACATGAAATCACCATGATACCAGCCCATGGATACCGAATATTGAACTCCTATTACATGGGGGGGGGGGGCAATGTAAAAAAATCATCAAGCACATACACTATATTGCCAATAAGTATTGACCCCGCCCTCCAAATCATGTGATTCAGGTGTTCCAATCCCCTCCATGGACACAGGTGTATACAATCCATCCCCTAGGCATGCAGACTGCTTCTACAAACATTGGTGAAAGAATGGGTCGCTCTCAGGAGCTCAGTGGCTCCAAGCGTGGTCCCCTGATAGGTGGTCACCTGGGCAGTAAGTCCATCCGTGACATTTCCTGGCTACTAAATATTCCACGCTCAACTGTTAGTGGGATTATAACAAAGTGGGAGCCACTGGGAACACCAGCAAATCAGCCACCAAGTGGTAGGCCACGTCACATGACAGGGCGGGGTCAGCGCATGCTGAAGCGCACAGTGCGCAGAAGTCACCAACTGTCTGCAGAGTCAATAGCTAAAGACCTCCAAACTTGGTGTGGCCTTCAGATGAGCCCAACAGTGCGTAGAGAGCTTCATGGAATGGGTTTCCATGGCCGAGCAGCTGCATCCAAGCCTTACCATCACCAAGTGCAATGCAAAGCGTCGGATGCCGTGGTGTAAAGCAGGTCGCCACTGGACTCTAGAACAGTGGAGACGTGTTCTCTGAAGAGACCAATCACGCTTCTCTGTCTGGCAATCCGATGGATGTGTCTGGGTTTGGCGGTTGCCAGGAGGACGGTACTTCCCTGACTGCATTGTGCCAAGTGTAAAGTTTGCTGGAGGGGGGATTATGGTGTGGGGTTGTTTTTCAGGGGTTGGGCTTGGCCCCCTAGTTCCAGTGAAGGGAACTCTTAAGCAGTCGGCATACCAAGACATTTTGGACAATTTCATGCTCCCCCAACTTTGTGGGAAGAGTTTGGGGATGGCTCCTTCCTGTTCCAACATGACTGCGCACCAGTGCACAAAGCAAGGTCCATAAAGACATGGAGGAGCCAGTTTGGGGTGGAGGAACTTGACTGTCCTGCACAGAGTCCTGACCTCAACCCCATAGAACACCTTTGGGATGAATTAGAGCGGAGACTGCGAGCCAGGCCTCCTCCCCCGACATCAGTGCCTGACCTGACAAATGTGCTTCTGGAAGAATGGTCCAACCTTCCCATAGACACCCTCCTAAACCTTGTGGACGGCCTTCCCAGAAGAGTTGAAGCTGTTATAGCTGCAAAGGGCGGGGCCAACTCAGTATTGAACCCTACGGACTAAGACTGGGGGGTCATTAAAGTTCATGTGCGTGGGGGCGGGGCCAACTTATTGAACCCTACGGTCTAAGACTGGGGGGCCATTAAAGGTCATGTGTGGAAAGGGCGGGGCCAACTCAATATTGAACCCTACGGACTAAGACTGCGGGCCCATTAAAGGTCATGTGGGTGGAAAGGGTGGGGCCAACTCTATATTGAACCCTACGGACTAAGACTGCGGGCCCATTAAAGGTCATGTGGGTGGAAAGGGTGGGGCC